TCTTATTTACTACTGTGTGCACAGTGCGTGTCACTGAAAATGGTGATTTGAGTGCGTGGAAATCAAGAAGATGTTACCAATATTGTCGGTATATTACTAAGTTTACAAACATCAAATAAGATCTCTGTGAATTATTCTGTGACAGATTTCTGTATGTATTAGCAAAAATACTTGTTGATGAATAGTATGTAACTTTTTAGCCCAAAAAATTGACTGAAATAAAGACAAACAAACAAGGTAATTTTTATTGTACAGAAAAACATACATCCTTATTGTTAGTGCTATAATCTGTGGCTATAATCTCTTACATTGTGTGGCATGAAACTTACCTTTTCCATGCATGGTTTTATTAAAATTCTACAGTATTTCTACAGAATTAAACAGTATTTTTCAGTGCAAAAATCAACATTAATGAATTTAGATGGAAAAAATGTCTAAAAATTGTCATTAATGTCAAAGCTTTTAGAAAAGTCAGTTCAATGTATTATTTCTTCTTTCTTTTTTTTTTTTTTTTTCAAAATTAAGTTGGATAATTAGAAGAGCAGTCATTTGTAAAAGATGGAGATTTTTACACTTTAAACATATCCAAAGTAAAATGAATTATGGTAAAATTCCACGGATCTGATTCTAAACATTATCCACACAAACCTTTAAACAGGATGAGTGTTTTTAACTAAACTTTCCTTATTGGCCATTACGCCTGTCATGTGCACACTTGGCACAAAACTGCATTATTGAGCATTTATTGTACAGAACTGGTCCAAAGCCTGTGCCCAAGTGGACTTTAGAGACCTGATAATGAGCCACACAAAACACTCACCATTGATTCTGATCCGACCTTGCTGACCAGACTAAGTGACTAATTGGCTTCTTTAACCAGTGGCTTTTAAAGGATGTACTGTATATTGTCCACTGTTTTCCTATTTTCATTGCAAATTGATAAAAATAATGATCTTCGTGTTTTTGGTCGATTCCATTTCATTAAAGTTGGGTTCAATACTGTGGTAAAAAAATAGTCGTCTTTTAAGGGTCCTAACAAGACCCTTAAAAGACGACTATTTTTTTTTTACACACAAAAAACGAAATACAATTTTATTTAAAAAAAACTTGTATATCTGGCATTTATTCAGTTACAGGTGTTTTGAATGCTAAAAGTACCTTGAAAAACATACATTCATACTTGGATGGGGCTTGCCTTTCCACAGATATGGCATGTAATTTGGCATAGTGGGGTCACCTGCTTGTTGCCATGGAGATAAAGGTTAGTTTAGTTTGGAGATGAGTCTGTGGTAGACCCTTCACTGGAAAAAAAATGTTTAGTGTAGCTTTAAAACTTTAATCTTATGTTATGAAAAAATTAATTCACAGTTTGCTTGTGAGTATCTCTGAGGGTTACAAAGATAAGAGCATTTTTCATTTGAATTATTGTTATCTTTTGTTTCAGTTTCAATTCAGTGAGAAAAAAGTAGCTGTGTTTGACCATGACACTTTGGTTGCATGAATCATCTACAACACTGTACCACTAAATTACCCACAGACTTTACACAGCCTCATCTGTAACTACCACAATGAGCCGGACCCTTGTCAATGCTGCAGAATGTCACTGTCCAAAGACGGCGGTGTGCGGTCGAAGTGGGGTCAGAGGTCGTGACTGTTGCACACGGCTCAGTCTAATTGGTCCGAGAGCCTCAGCTGTAGCCGGCAGCAACCACCAAATGACCTTTATGGATGTCACTGGTGCGATCCACTAAGTTTGCCAACGTCACATAGGAGGAATACTTGAGATTTTTGAATGCGAAAAGGGCAAGAATATTACATTGTTGATATGAATATTTTCTGTTATCATTTGTAGTAGCAGGGCTTGATGGGGAGTCTTTTACTCACTAATCACTCTGTCACTCTAGTTCTTTTTATGTTAGTCTTTAAAGGTCCTATATTACACAAAATTTATTCTTGTGAGCTCTAAACTATATTATAATGCTGTTACCTCTGCAAAAGTTTGAGTAATCCTTTATTATTAGTCTCTACAAAGCTCAAAACGCTCTGTTCCATCTTGTCATGTCATGAAGCAGTAGTTTTCAAGTTAACAGCTATCTTTTAGAGAGACTGACAGGTCCATTTACTGTTGAGAAAAGTCTAAATATGCAGGATTTCTGAGTAAAAAAATATGTGAGTGAAACAAAGCACAACTCCAAGAATGTTTTTGATGAGGAAACAACATTGTAAAGCATAATACAGGCCCTTTAAATATTAAACTCTAATATTCAAACATAATTGTAGATAGTGGATGTGTTGTGTGGGGTTGTCTTGTGTCTAATCTTGCCGAATGACTTGGTACCAGGAAACCCTGAGAAAGTGCAAGCTAAAAATCTTACTGGTCAAAGTTATACACAAATCTCCCTGCATTTGGCCAGTTGGCATGGTGTTAAAGTCAAGCCCTGATTTTTTTTTTTTCTCTTTCATTTTCCTCAGAAGTTGACAAAGTAAACTACAAAGTTCAGTAACTTCTAATATAAAACCTAAAAGTAAAAATCATGATTACTTCTTCTGCTGCGTACACTTTTCTGGTGGGTCTGGACTTCCACCTGCATGACTCTGTGAAGTTATTATTGCTTTGCTGGAATGTTCCAAAGTGTAGCATTAAAAATATTTATATTGCATTATTCTTCAAAAATATCTTGAAAAACATGCATAGTTGAGTTTCTGCACAGACTTGACCTGGCCTAGTGGTGAAGTTTAATACTATACTATGAAACATTCCAGGCAAAGGAAATTGTCTATTACTCTTTACCAGAAAAGTTACAGTGTGTCTTTAAAGGTGTAACTTTTCGGTTGGGGGTCTGGATATGACATTGCTCTGCTTTGAATATTCCGCAACATGGCATTAAACAGATCTACCTTATATTTATTCAATTACAGGTAGCTTCATTGCTCAAAAATACGTAGAAAAACAAGCATTCTGACTGTGAGCTTTGCCTCTCCAGAGATCTGACCTGTAATTTGGCCTGGTTTGGTCTCCATAATGATAGAAAGGTTTAAAGCCATACTGTGAAACACTTCTGACAAAGCAATAACATCTCCACACAGAAAATCATTTGACAGACCCCCCTACCAGAAAGGTGCAGGTCTATTCTAATTCCTTTTACTAATTTTTAATAGCAGTTGAACTCACAATGTACAGAATATTTAAATGATTCTAAAACCATCTTCTGCAGTACTTTCCCATAATATTTCTCAGTCCTCCCTTCGTGAACCCTGGAGCGCTGGCTGCTGTTGACTTTTCTATTGTTAAGGACCTTTTGTTAGGGCAGAATTTGAGCGGCTGAAGTTTTGATTGAAACCATAAATCCATCTGACAGAAAGGCCTGAGGTTTCAGAGACCCTGCGTGCTCCTGTTGGTCTAATACCAATTGAAGCGAAGATTTGAGCTGTTGTCCACCACAAATCATTCATTTTTGTAAAAACTAGACAACATAATATCCCATACAGACTGGATCTTTAAGCACATTTCTTACTGTTGTTACTCTGGCATTAATACAAAACCTGATATATTTTTGGCCCAATTTCTGTTCCCATCATTAGCTCTGCCAACACAATGCTAAAAAGTACCTTAAAAACATGCATTCATACTTTGACCGGACTCGCCTCTCCACAGATATGGCCTGTAAATTGGCCTGGTGGCATTCCCTCCTTGTTTGCATGGAGATAAAGTTTAGTTTAGACCAGCATGTGGTGGACCCTTCACTTGGAAAATGCTTAGTGTACCTTTTATTCTGTTTGTGAAAAAATGCTATAATGTAAACACTGATTCACTCCTTGCTGTTTGAGCTGCTGACCACCACAAATCATTCATTTTTTATTAAAACTAGACAACATAATGGCCCCATACAGACTGGATCTTTAAGCCCATTTCTTTCTGCTGTTACTCTGGCATAAAAACAAAAACTGCTATATATTTTTGGCACAATTTCTGCTCTCTTCATTAGCTCTGCCATCATAATGACATTTAATTTGTCATATTGTGTTCCGCTCTATAGTCTGTGTTTGTGTTAATGGATTTTTAATGTGTAAAATGTTGTGTAACCTTATTCTTGTCTTGTCAAGGTCTAATTGTCCAGCTGTGTGTCAGTCAAGTACAGAAATCATCGTCACTAGTTGCATTAAGTTACTTTGTGTTTAGGCTTATTTGTATGTTTATTTTATTCAGTGTTATTTCTCTACCTTGTCAATTCATCAGTTGAAATATTTTTAATTCTAATTCTAATTCTGCAGCCATTTGTTACTGTTTTGTTTAAAAATAGAACAAATATGAATTGAGGCAGGAAATTCAAATAAACTGTCACATTACAGTGCACCACCTTTCTTTACCAGTGGGAGGTCCACATGGAGGTCCAGCGTAGCTCTGAAATGTTCTACAGTATGGTCTTTAAAGTGTTTAATATACAAAATCAGCTCCTCCAAATCTGAGGCCATGGTTCTCGATGGGAAAAAGTGCCCTCTCCATGCGGGTGGAGAGTCCCTGCCCCAAGTTTCTTAGGGTCTTGTTCACGATTGAGGAAAGGAGGCAGAGTGAGATTGACAGGTGAATTGGTGCAGCATCTGCAGTGATGCAGTATCGGACTGTTGTGGTGATGAAGGGGCAGAGTCAAAAGGCTTTACATTCCTACCCTCACCTATGGTCATGAGCTTTGGGTAATGAGCAAAAGAAGATTGCAGACACAAATAGTCAAAATGAGTTTTCTACCTGGTAGTGTCACTTTCTTGTCTCCAGGGAAACAAGTTTACGCCCTTTTGTGGAACATGAGATTATTTTCAGAAATTTACATTCAGCTCACTACACATGCCTTGCGCGGGTGGAGTGCCCCCTTCCACACCAGTTCACTTAGTGGCTACACAAAACTGGCTGTGTGTACTAGGCCTCATCATATCTCCTCTTTATAGCCCTTGTTGTAAATCCTTATGTGATCCCCCCACTAAACCCACCATCTCTCTCTGTTCAGGTCCGAGCCAGCGCCATCGCTCAGGACGCAGACCAGAACTATGACTATGCGTCCAACAGCGTCATACTACACCTGGATGCTGGGGACGAGGTCTATATCAAACTTGACGGAGGCAAAGCTCATGGAGGAAACAACAACAAATACAGCACCTTCTCTGGCTTCATCCTGTACGCAGACTGAGAACTACACACCGGGACACGCCTCACGCTCAGACAGGACTGTGACGTGTTTCGGACAATTCAAACGTACCCCGAACTCTTTACCCCTATTGTCCCCATTGTCACCGCTTCATTTCCATCAAACAAATTGTGGAGGCTACAGATGGGAAGATGGGGAGACTGTTGTTCGGACAGTGGCAATGATTTTGAGATTGAGTTTATTTTTGTTATTTTTGGGGTAAGTTGTGACATCTCCTTTGCCTCATTGCACAGAATTGTCAACAAAAGCTACTTAAAACCTGCACAAGCTGAAATGGACATCCTCACTTAAAATGGACTATAACGGTATAGTTGTCTCAAGTCTGTGCGCCTTCTTCTTTACAGATTGTCATTATTATTTTCGATACATATTATCAGAGTTGAGATTTTAAAAAGAGAATATATTCGTCCCCTATTTGTGAAAGTAAATATTATGTCAAATGTTGTGTGTGAGAGGAAGTTCACTGTTAGCTGCAGTGGGTGTGTTTTTCCTATTGGTTTGAATGGAGAGTCTTTTCAGCACTGTACTCCCATTTTTCTTATTTTTTTAAACAGAAAGAAGCTTAATACATGTACTCTGATCAGGCATAGCTTTATGACAACTGACAGGTGAAGTTCATAATTCGTTTCCTATTTTAGAAAATGGCATTAAACAACAAATGACAATTTAGAATGTGTATTGTTTTCCAACTCAAAACACTGACATTGTGATGATATAAACACAGCTGTTACGTGATATTATTGGTCTGGATTTACTACTATCCATGAGTTTCAAAATGATGAGAAATTTGCACTGTTGCCATAGCAGTTAACAATATAAAACAAAATACAATATCTTTTGAAATAATAACAAAAAGGAAGAAATCCAGGAATATCTATAATTGGTCCTAGAAAGGAACATTTCAATGGAAAAAATTTTATCAGATTCAAATGAACAGTGACTGAACAATGAATTACAATTTGCATCATTTGTTTTAGTATTAGAGGTTTAGCGCTAACACATATATAATCAGGTGGTCGTAATATTTTGCCTGAATGGAGTACAATAAAGACAGACATACCCTTATCACAAACCCCCCATCTGATTCAAGGGATCTACAGCTCAAGGAAATTCCACTGGTCGGAAGATGTCACGTAAAAATGGAATAAAGCATGAGCGATTTCCTGTTCGAGTGACTCTGAGCTTCACTTGATGTCATCCGTTCATTAGCTGCATCCACAGATACACAGGCATTATGGGAATATTTACTCAACATGGCGTCCTGACAGCTTGCTGCAGATCGAATGGACTGATGAGTGGCTGCACGTTTGTGTACTGTATGCGTGTGTACTTTAGCATGTGCTGTGCCATAGCCCCATCTTTTCTTACTCCCTCCAGAGTCCTTCTTCTGTGCTACAGCCAATGACAGATAGATATTTTACTCAGCAGCCAATGAGATTGTGTGCTCTATAAAGGGGTGGGCGGAGCCTCTAATATAGTTTCAAAACAATGGATGAGAAGAACAAACAGCTTGTAAATGAAATCGATGACTTGTTTGTCAATCTTATCTTTTGGAATTGTTGAATACATTTAAATAAATGGGATTTTTTTGAGCGACTTGTCTGATGAAAGTTATTGTCCTAAAATACAATGTAATGATATATTTTTTAAAAAGACTGCAGCACGATAACAAATAAACATTATACAAATATGGTTATGGTAGCGGTGCACTGGTAAAATCCAGTGGTCTGATTCCAGCTACTAAAGATGTGTATTGACATTGTGTCACTTTTCCCACTCACTGCCAGCTCAGTCCTTGTTATCTTAGCTTGCATCATCAGAGGTATAATATTAAATGGAATATACAATGGAAACATAGGCAGACTGGACTGTATTAGACTGGATTAAATAACACTATGTCTCAGATGGTAAAGCACCTACAGTATACATGGCCTACATATGGATACGCGAGTGCATGATTAAAAAAATTCATTCTGTGTGCGGTGGGACTCTCCACATAACATGGTCCTGTGGTGTATATTTATCTCCATGAGCGTAAGTACAGTACAGTAGTAGACAGTAGCTCAGTTGGTGGAGCTTTTGTCAACTGATCCAAAGGTTGGCGGATCAACTCCCACTCTCAACAGAAACATCATTGGCTGATTCCAGCTCCCACACATGAATGCTGTCGGTGTCCTTGGGCAAGACACTTAACCCATCTTGTCCGTAGTGTCTGGGTACACTGCGGTGTGTGAATGTGTGTGTGAATGGGTGAGTGGTTCCTTGCTGTACGAGTGCTTTGAGTGTCTTGGCGGTGGAAAAGCGCTATATAAAAATGTGACCATTTTACCAGAACAGAATAGTTGCACAACACACATTTAACTATACAGAAACCTCCACATATAACTTATATGAGCAAAAACAGGTTCAGCCAACTGGAAAATTGTTCCACGTTTTTGCCCACTTGATGTACATCCTCTACAAGGTAAACCCCCCCTCCAGATTCCCCGTCTCTATATTCTACAGGTAATGTTTAAGGAAACACAAGCTATCCCTCACACAGCCATCACTTTGTCTTTCCGTAGATTCCATCAGCCTCGCTCCGATCTACCCACAGAGGAGCTGAGGAGCGGATACGGAGCGGCAGAGATTGAGCGGGAGGAGAGAGGATCCGAATGTGCTTTGACAAAGACAAATGGAGACAAGAGACTAAAGAGTATAGGCTACAGAGCGCCGTAACAGCAGGGGATGTGACGGGCGGACAGGCAGGAGCACCGGGAGCCTGCTTCGGATTCTGATTTGGGAGTAGCAGGGATTGTTTTCGGGTGAGAGTGATTCCCTGTCTGAGCGGCGAGAGGTGTCAGGCCAGATTAGCACGAGAGCGGCTGCCGGAGAAGACTGGAGATGGCTCCGATTGGACAAGTGTCAAGATGTGGACTGTCCTCACGGCGAGCGGGAATGGGATGTGACACCAGACGCTACTATAGTCTGCGCTTCAGTTGAGAACGACAGCCAGCATCCTGCTATGTTGTTTTATAGGCTAATGATAAATGTACACACAAGGTCTTATGTGGAAGTACTCTTTACTATGACTTACAAGTATCATAAACTGTATAGAGTGTAACATCACCTGGAGCGCTTGTCTCCAGTCAAATGCAGCTCATGATGCTAGAAAATTATAACTCAGACATGTCCAAAAGTATGGCCCAGGGACCAAACGCAGCCCTCAGACCAGTTTTTCTTGGACCTCAGGCTGCAAGTGAATTGGTCCGTATTTCCTTAACAACTTTATTCTAGGTACTAAAACACAGAAGTTGAACTAAATTACTATCAATACAGTAAATCAATACAACCAGAAGTGACCTTTTAGATTTGATTTGTTTTCTAAGGGGAAAACTTCATTCTCAAGGCCTATATATGTGCCATATGTGAAGAAGAGGAGGTAAGGAGAATGAGGAGGATCATGGTTCTGCTGCTGCTGTGAAGACAAAATGTGATTTATTCATTTTTTTGTAAGAATAATTTTCTCATATGTAAATTCTCTTAAAAGTAGAGTTGTTATTGAGGGCATTTTCAAAACCTTTTAAATGGTCGACACTTGCTTTGAATAATAGAGTATACTCATCTGAACCTTCACACAGATGACACTGACCATTTTAGGAACGCATCTCCTTTAGCGGTCAAGGATTTTCACGTAGCTTGAAAAAACATAAAAACTTTAAAGTGCGCCATAAAAAATCAACAAAAAGAAAAATCTGAAAGTCAGAGAGAGAGGGCAAGAATATTTTTCATACCGCAACAAGAATAAACTTTTAGTCAGCCATTTACATTCAAGTTAATTCAAGGATTCATTGAACAGACCTTCATGTTAGCTGTATATGTGAGCTGTTGATTTCACACATGCATCTGCTGGAAGTGCCCATATATTATTGCTCTGCCTAGAATGTTCTATAGTATGATGATAAACTGCTCTACTATACATTTATTAAATTATGGTTGGTTTTGTAACTCAAAAATACCTCAAAAAGCATCCTGCCTGTGAGAGGGTTCGCCTCTCCGCAGATCTGTCCTTCAACTTGGTCTGGTTCTCCATGAGAATAGAAAAGTTTAATACCATACTCTGAAACATTACAGACAAAGCAATAACATCATCATGGAGAAAAGCATTTGGTGGATGTTACACAATGCACCTTTAAGCCATAATAGTTTTTTTTTTTTTTTTTTTTTTTTTTATAGGACTTTGTCTTGTTTTGGGAGAATTTAGTGCACTTATGAAAAGCACTTTTGTTCAGTTGTTACTGTTGCAAAATGCTATACAATAGAATTGATTGATTGATTAATGAAAATGTACAATTCATAGTAATGTGATAGTCATGCACAAAGCTTTTCTGAATGCTCTGAGCTGATTTACAATTGCGTTTAGGTTTAAATTGGGTTTAGGTTTGTTTATTTTGTCTCAAATTGGCTCAAAGCAAAGCATACAGACATGAGTCATGGCATAACAAAAAACAGACGAAAAACAAGTAGAACTGGACAATAAACAATCAGTCAGACTTGACATATCTACTTAATCAGTCCATCAGTTATTAATACATTTTATGTGCTGTTATATGTATGGTATTCATTCAACATCAATGGTAAGATACTAGCTACAGCTCCCTGGGGTAGTCTGACAGAAGTGCCAATCTGCACCACCCTACCACCCCCAATCCTCCATTCACATTCATGCATAAGAGAGAGAGAGATACTTCATTGATCCAGAAGGAAATTCAAGTTTTGCTGCAGCTACATTTCCACTGCGCCTCTCAGTTGCTGTTGTGTCTCAGTCAAAGGTCTGAGTGCAGTTTAACAGGAGGGCTGGTCTGGTAGGAATGCTATAAATTCTAATCAGACTCATAATCGTTGTGTGTGTTTGAGGCATAGTTTAACTGTACATTTGTATCATATTGTAGAATCCCTTCTGCTACAGTCTGAGGAGTAAAACAAACCCACTATGGAGGCAG